GAACCTAGATGGGACTTGCTTGTCGTGCATATCAGAACAAATTGTTTTTGGGCAGAAAGAAAAGTTTCCTTGCAGATCTGGAAAAAAGGCTTTGTAACATGTCACTAATATTACAAAAGGATCTATTTTAACCCAAACCATGTTTTTAGCTCCCTTAAGCTGCCTTTTGTTCTTACATGAGATATAAACACCTGGAATAAAATGAATGAAACACTCTGGAATGAAAGCTGTGCATGTTACTCATCCATCCAGCCAAATGTCTTTCCTACATGGACTTCATTACTCTTTATGCTACTTCTGCTGGCATCCTGAAGCCTTTATACTGGAAAGCCCAATTTCCAATTTAACAATTAAGCATCTATGTGTTCCAGTCACTACAGTCAGTTCTGTACTATTCATCAGCTACTGATGGACTCTTCTCTTTTCCTCCTCAATCTAGATCTAAATGTATCATTAAGCATTTTTACGATAACATGCTAAGCTTTATTGAAATAAATTTGTTATTCACAAACAAATCTACTGTAACTCCTTTAAGAAACCTGCCATGTTTACTAGTGACCTACTGGGCAATCGCCCTTTCATTGTGGCAGACTTGTCACTATAAGGCTGGTTAACATACAAGAGCCGAGGACTGCATGCCAACCCACATTATTTCATGCACATCTGGGCATGTCGTCACACATGTAACCCTTTGGCAAAACAAGCAAGTTATCTTGAAATAGCAAAATGGGTCTTCTGGTAGTGATGAAGCATTTGAATCTACAATAAAAGATCCAAACAGTAAAATGTGGATTTACTTTTAGCTGAGATTGTTTTTTAATGATCAATGATTTTCAGTGTTTATACAGACAGAATGCCCGGTGGGCCCTTAAGCTGTGGCCAGTTGTCTTGAATGGCTCATCTGCTTTTTGATGTGATGAAGAGTGGCATGACGTTTTAATCCTGCCAACCGTGACAGCTGAAGTTTCCATTCTGACCTCTGTCAAGCCTGCCAAGAAAGAGTATATTAGGTTGTGAGTATTATTCTGTTAGAGCTGTCATTTAATCCTGTTTAATCAGTAGTTACGTTTGTTATTTATAGGCACAAATACTCCTGACACAGAAACACATAATCATATTTGGTTTTGCTGCAAGTCATATGAAAATAAATACATATATTTATGACTCTCTATATAAATGTATCTTATTTTTAAGCTAGGAGCTGTATGATTAAGTCATTCTCAGAGTTACTGAGACATTATCATTAGCTAGAAGATCTTTTTATAAGTTTGTGAAGTTTGCTTATTAAAACTGAGCGTGACATGATATTAAGCCACATTAAAGCAGCAAAATAAAACGTAACTGTTCAAACTGCTTTATAGGAATGACACAATGAAAAAATGATGTCTGCCAGATCACGTCTGTGACAGTCATGATAAAAAGTGCACTGTCTTTCAATTCTTAGGTTTTACATGCAAAAATCATCTGGTCCTTATCAGATCTTCAGATAACTCACAAGATGTGACATATTATAGTATGACATTATTTACTTAATGAAGATTACACAAAAAAACACCTCATTTTATATCTTGTAGAATCTAACCTCAGCAGCAGGACTTTACAGAAAGTTTTCAGCTCTATAAAAAACGCAATGGTAGTTTTGATTTTTGTGAAGGAGACGCTCTCATGACTAATTGAGCGATGTCACTGACTAGCCAATCTTTGGCATGTAGTCTGTTGATGTCACATTTTTGAATCACCTCGTATCGCTTGGAACCCTGGTGGAGTAGGTACTAATAGAAAAGGGGCTTAAGTACACCCTTACTTCTTCCATGGGAATTAAGAAGGTAAGTAGCAGCTCTGTGCTGCTAATTAAATGCACTTGGTTAACTGATCATCAGTCAGCAAGTGTGAGCACTTTTGCAAAAGCTTTGACAGTTTGCTGCTCTGGAACATTTAGGTATATGTCAGTACAAGTACATGCAATGAAGAATGAATGAAGAAGCAATTGTTGCCGCCCATCAGTGTGGGAAGTGTCATAAGGCTGTTTCCATCAAGTGGAAAAGATTCAAGAACATTGCCAATTTTTCCAAGAGTGGATTCCCCAGCAAATTCACCCCTTGAAGCCACAGAAACCGAAACTATGTCTCTAGCTTTATAGGCCTCAGTTAGCATGTTGAATGTTTAAGTTCATGACAGTGCAATTAGAAAAAGACTGTTTGCAATGAGAAATCTGGTTGCTATGTAATTTTTTCTCTAAAAAGGACATACAAGCATGGCTTAAGTTTGCAAAATTGCATGTTTAGCCCTAATGCAGAGCTCCACGTTAAGCCAAAAAGAAATGCAGCATATCAGCACAAACACCTGACGCCAACTGTTAAGCATGGTGGTGGAAGGGTGTTTTGCAACCACATGACCTGGGCACATTGTTAAGTTGTTGAGGTGAACGTGAGCTCCTCTGTCTACCAAACGTATTTGAGGCCATCTGTCCAACAGCTTAGGAGACCTTAAGAGGGCTATGCATAAACAAATACCCACAAACATCAATGAATTTAAGCAACACTGTAAAGAGGAGTCAGCCAGAATTCACCCAAAACCATGTGACACTGATAAATTCATGCAGACAGTAATTACTTCAAATTATTGCTGCCAGAGGTTCTACAAGCTACTGAGTCATCGGGTGCACTTAATTTTTCACACATTGTTTCTAGATTGTGGCTTAAATATTCTTAAATAAATAATGACATTGTGAAATCTGTTGTGTTGTTGATCTGACGTTGTATTTACCTAAGTTTATGACCTGGAAGGGACTAGATGATTTTTAAATTGTCCTGATATGTAAACCCTTAAAATGATCAGGGGGTGTACTTTCTTTTTACCATCTTTGTACAGCACACAAAAGCTACAATAGACAAATGTGTGTTGTCACTTTGTGTCATATAAATATAAAATAAGGCTTATAAATATTCAGCTTCTCGCACCTTCAGAGGTCTTAATGAACTGGAGTTTTGCTGCTGTGTGCAAATCTGTGTGCCTCTGCAGTGTGGGTAGAGCCTAGAAGATTAATAGTTGGTGCCTACAGGGACTAGTAGGGTATGGACACTGTATTTACACACATGTACACATACATCCTAAGTGAACTGCAGTGCTTTTGGAGTCATTTACAAATGAAGACTGATATATTCTGCAACATGCTAATAGGAAACTGCTTAAAAAAGCAAAATTAAAGCCAATGTATTCTTGGAACATAAAAAAAAAATCTGTTTTCTTCTTAAGAAAGCTCAGCACCTCCCCTACACCATACATAAACACCTGCTATCTTTGCCTCTCAGTCTCAACTCAGAAGCCCCTTGGTATGGGAACAAATATTGTACAAATAACAGTGACCTTTTTGCACAACGTCATGAAGTCCCACTGGTTTTAAGAGGTAAGAGCAGTGCCATTTAATTCACACAGACTATGATGGAAGAAGGCCTGCAGCTGTGGCCTGCACTTGAATAGGGTCATGGCTCATGCTGCATCCATAATCTAGACGGACCCGGTCAAAGACCTACTGTGACAGAATCACTGATGAGCCACATGCAGTGTTATGGATGATGAAATCTGTATGTATATGTTACTGTATATATAGGCAGCACCTCAGACCATCCCATTTGTGATGGTAATTCTTGGATATAAGCCTTTGCTTCACTGAAGCAAATCACAGGGTGAACTGTGAAGTAAATCAGCATATCAGCAAGGTTTGAGGGATAGGACAACTTTGCAAAATGATGCCATCTAAATCAGTGATATGGTTACCCATGAGACCAGTAGGAGCCAATCAGATCTCATTTATCGGGAAAGTCAAATGTTCTTAAGGTCAGACAATGCAGAATCACTTTAAAGACTCTGGGAAGTCCTGTGATTGTAATGACTTCTGGTCTTTCAGGACACATTTGATTTGGACCTTTATAAAGTGAGTCAACCTATGCAAAGCTACAGTACCTTAAAAGATGCCCAGATGTTGTGCTGACCAACTGGCAAATTCCCTTACAGATATGTCGGCCAACTTTTTAAGCCAGGACCATAACCCTCACTCTGATAAACTGATGATCAGTGACCTTTAATGGCTTTACTAGACTTTACACTAGAACCATTAGCATTAACTATTTGTTTTTAATCTATCTCCTGCACTGATCAAGTAAAAATAAAATTCCAGAGGTCAGTACGCTACAAAAACTGGCTGTAATGAGCTCTGCCAACATAAAGAATGTGTCTCTAAATAATGAAAAGGTTTCAGCAGAGATATATCTCACTCTACATATAGCGTACACATATAATGTTCATATTTCATTTCATTTTGTTTGATTATTGATATCATGCTTGGCACAGTTGTTGTCGGGTTAGTTCTTTGTTGCACTGCAGCGTGTGACAATGAGAAGCTACACTTTAGCTATTAGCAGTGACTCATTGTCATTTTACCTGAATCCTTGAATCTCTCTCTTCCTAATTATGTTCCTCCATTAATTTTCTTACCACATTAATTTCACCCTTCTCATCACTTCGCCTATTCTCCACAGCTGGTGCTAGCAGCTGCAGCCTCCTGTCACTTGTGAGGCCTGGTTATTAGTTGTTTCTGGTACTACTGTTCACGGTGCAGCTGCTGCGATAGCTAACATGTTGGTTAATTTGACACATTTTGCTTTTACTTCCTTTTTATAGTTTTCTCTCAGTTTTCCAGCTCCATCTTCTCACCACTTCTTCCACACTAAAGCTTTTCTAGACAGTGAAGGTAGGGGAGGGGCCGGTCATGTTAAGAGATGTGATTGGGTGGATGGGCTGCTTTCAGTGGTTGTATGGGCGGAGTGCAGTTAATTTTTTTTTACAAATCATACAAGGAATGACAAATTCTAATAGTCATAAACTTTATCATGGTGGACCATTGGCATGTGGATCCCAGATCTATAAATTGGATAAAATTAACTCTGCAGCCAAAAATGATATACAAAACCCTGTTGTTTATTATGCTGTCTTTTCTCCAGGGCTTGGTGATAGAACGAATTGGCAGGAAGCCCCTTCTCATATTTGGTTTCTTTTCCATGGCCGTGTTCTTCAGCCTACTCACAGTTTTTCTTAATTTCCAGGTAAGCCACACTTCCTGTCCTTTATACTAGACATACAATATCTGAAGAGGCAACATAAAAATATATTCTGAGAAAACATGGATTTTAACACAGTTGCAAATCTCAAACTTCTAAAATTCATCAAAATTCTATAAATGTACATATATTTATATTTAAAAAAAAGCACTTTTATTATGAAACATTTTTTGCATCATTCAGTATCATTAAAATCTTGAACTGTAATTACTTATTAGCAAAACTTTTACAATGCAAAATATTTAAATACCACACAGTACAGCAGCTGTAATATATAACAAAATACTGATTATGTCACTTGCTCTCTCTGATTCCTTTCAGGATAGAGTGTCATGGATGCCGTACCTCAGTTACGTCTGCATACTCGCTGTGATTGCCTCCTTTTGCTCTGGACCAGGTAAAACTACTCACATATTCTGTTTCGATCAAAGTAAACACCCTGCAAGCAGATTATCTTAATAATCTGTGTCTGTAATTCAGTGAAGTACTGTACCTGTTGTATAATCAATGTGACTTTCCCCAACTCCGGCCTGGAATGATTGGCATCGCAAAGTAAGCTCCTGTCATATATTAGCATACTAAAAAAGGAGCCATACAGTATACAGTGTATGTCATTGTCCTGCAAATGTGACAGTGTCCACGGCAGGTCTTGTGCAAGTTTGACTTTAAGTTTCAAGGTGAAGCTATTCCTGTCATCACACATGCTCATCCTTGTGCAGTAATATCTCCAGGGAGCATTCACCCAGTAAAGTGTCTCAGTGTCTTTAGAATGAGACTGAAATTGCAGAGTAGGAGAAAATATCAAAAACCTGACACGCACACAACAGTAAGTGAAGCACATTTTATTGTTTTATTTTTTTCATACCAAAGTTCTTTAATAAAGAGGAAGAAAATGAGACAACCTTATGCTGAGACACAGACATAATGCACATAACAACACCATTAGAGTCAATCAATTCTTTTTAAGGTGCATTTTTGAGGTAATCACTGAGGAAAGGAAGATCGTTTGACTGCACAGTGATGATTTATAGCCTATTGAAACAAATGAAGCTTCTCACTACTGATGACTGGTGAATGGCTTGAGAGTGGGGGTGGAGGTGGGGTTTCACCAGAGGGATGACCCCAGTAGTGATGTGAGCCTTCCAGTGGATAAATGAGCAGCCACACCTCCTCTTAAGTCACTTCACCATGGAAACCATAGCCCAGATATTTCAAAAACAAAGATTATATTTCTCTATAAGAGCAGAGGGAGATTTTCCTGTTTGATAATGACAAAAGGCAGAGTTGTAGCTTTTATTTTTGTTTATTGTTTATTTTCTGTTTTTAGCTTCCCCTTTCATTGAATTATAATTTTATTTCTTCAAATATATGATTTTTTTCTTAATCTTTGAATCTTTGAATCTTGAAAGCCTTCTTTCTTGTCTCTCTGTCTCTTGAAGCTGCTTTCTTGGTATTGTTTTTTATATCTGAATGTTTCTTTCTTTCATTTTCCTCTTTTTCCAATTTGTAGTTTGATAAGGCCAGCATTCAAAATGCTTTGTCAAATGTCATTTTCATTTTCTAATGCTGAAATATTTCTTTGCGTTGTACTTGTAAGAGAACAAAAACTAAACCTTTTTAAAAAATGAATCTTTTATTTAAATCTTTCTTTTTCTGATCCTGATTGTCCCGGATGAGCTTATTACTTTCCAAATTTGGTTGTGTTTTACTTCACTTCCTTTCTTAGTTTTTTGTATTTTAGCACCATGAACTAGTATTTGAAATATAATCAGTGCAGCTGTCACAGTTGCAACAAGTTCATAGATTTTTTTTCTTTAACCAAAATAATGTCTTGGCTCATAGGAAATCATCAGGTACAGATTTGAGTTAGTCCTTGTTTGCATTGGTGTATCTTGTGCCTTTGTAGCATCTTGTATGAAGCTCACCTGGACTGTAGTTTAGTCGTTATCGCTCTCTTACCCTGTCCTTTTTGCCATTCTGCTAAACAGAGCAATAAAAGAGATAAATAATCTCTCTGTGCTTCTTCATATGACTGTCGCAGACAGTTATCCAGCTTTCACAGTGTCAACGTAACATTCAAAACATGCAGGAATGACACACTTTGGGTGCTTGTACAGTACTTGTTAGGGTTTAGTGGTGCGATGGGATATTTTAGAGGAAGCTGAATGAGCCTCAGACAGCGCAGTTACTCAGTGTGAGATCAGGGGAGTGACTTTATTGGATTCCCTGTTTGCACTGTCCTAGAAAGTGCTGTCACAAGGACTAATAGCCAATTTGGCATAGGCTTCAGTTTCTTCACTGTGTCTCAGGGTTCACATTTAGAAGAACAAAATTTGGCAGACATATTTGATGGCTTTTAAGTTCACTTCCATCACTCATGGAGATTTTTATAGACGACATTAGAATAGATTAAAACTGTGATCGGTGGAAGGTTAATTTACTGCTAGCAGTTGCCCTCTGCAGCAGTCTTGTTACACGGGAGAATGCAACAGAATAGACTTAACTGGGTTTTGTAGCAGTACACTCAAACAACACTGTGACACCCTTTGGTTATTACAGTCCACCACATAAATAATTATATTTTTTGTTAATTGAATATTGGTATGTTTTATCGTTTAAAATAGTGATGTATCTAAAACAATAGCTCAGCGCTGGTTTAGTTAATGCTCTGTAAAAATATCATGTTTTCATAGTGTGGTTGCTTATGGAACTAAAACATATTCCCTCAACTGGATATTAGTGCTGTCAAATAGAAAACGATGGACTGGAAGATGGTAAAAGGGCAAAGTGTAAAACTGCAGTCAAGTGAAAATGTTAATTACATTTATAAGTTATAATGTAAGTAACATTTTTAATTGTAACCAGTTGTTTATTATTGCTAAACTCTCATGAAATCTGGCCAAGCATGTATCCATATGGCACCACTGCAGTAAATTACTGGCGCCAATAAAATCGATGTAACAGGAGGTCGTCAATTAAAGAAAGGAAAGGACGAAGCTTTGATTAGCTCGCATCAAATTATTACCACCGCTCTGTGTGACAGCGTTCTACATTTTACAGCATTTAAAATGTTTCTTTAGGGTAACTTATAAAAATTAATTAGCTGTAATTACTGTACATGGCAGCAAAATTAAGACATACAGAGATAATAAAATGATATGTTATGTGTCACTATATAATACATAATTATCTTGTCCTTACCAAAGGTAAAATTATTCAGTGACAAACTCACACGACCAGCAACACGAGACACTGTTTCATTATGTGTCGAATAAAAACTAAGCCACAATGCAGAGTGTGTGAAAATAGTACACCACATGATTGTCACTGTAGAACCACCTTTAGCAGCAATAAGCCGAAGTAATCATTTTCTGTATGAACTCATCAGTGTCTCATTGGTCAACTGTTCTTTACAGTGTTGTTTCAGTTCATTCACGTTCTGTCCTGTTCCATGACTCAAGAGTCTTGTTGTTTTTATGTTGCCTTGATACATAAAACCTTGGGTCTGAAAGAAGGCCTACTTTCTTTTTTATTGTGATTGTGTTGCTCTATGAATTTGGCATTTTGTCCTCAAACTTTATAACAATTCTTGAACAATACAGGTGATAATTAAATATTTGATTCTGGCTTCTTTTTATCAAGAATAACTGTAACATATTTTCAGGAGAGGACAGGACAACAACAAAATGTGCAGATTCAGTCTGAACTGAAACGAAGTTACGGATTTTACAAAGTCCTCCAACACCTGCTCATTACAGCAAACACATATGTCCACACACCTTGTTTGGTACAAACTACTGAATGTGCTGTTTTTGACATATTACTTCTAATAGTGACAGACAGCTGTCGAAGCTTCAGGAAGAGAAAAGAATATGCACATTTTTCACACGTAGACAGATGTTCAGATGATTGACAGGTGAAACTGCTGTCTGTTGAGCAAATCCATTCTTGTGGTGTACACTGAAGCTGTTGTGGAGCATCCTTGATGCAGATATGTCTAGTCAAGATTTACTGGGTCTTTTCATAGCTGCAGGCTGTATATTGAATCACTGTATACGTTCATGAAGCTAATGATTTGTGCAGCTGTCACCATAGGGACAGCGATTATACATTGAAGTGCAAGGGTACTGAAATAGAAGCATTCGAGTACTGCAGTATAGCTCCACACCACTCCTTTTTTAAATTTCTTCTAGCAGGCTGACACTCTCACCTCAACTGGAAATTGCTGATTCTCTCTTTTTGTCGCCCGTGTTGAGTGTTGAGCCCATGTCAGAAACCACTCCTGAGCTGTTTCTAAACCCATTTAACTGTGCCTCCTATTTTTGTAAACGAATAATACTGCATAGTCTATAACAAACTTACGCCGCATCCCATCACTGCTTCCATCCCTACACTCTGCATGGAGAACAAGTTGAGAGCTGTCATTTCGAAGCAGAAGCAAGTCAATAAATAGTATCTTCCTAAAATATATCTTTATTTTATAGAGTCCTGGGATTGCAATTCCTTTTATCTTGCCAAAAAGTAAATAGCTTTAATGCTGTTGTCACTGTTTCCTGTGGGACAGCAGAGATAAATGCAACCCCAAAGTGTAGTGAAGTGTTTGTTAGTTTGGAATATTGTCTTTTCCCCCACGGCACTGGTGTTTCTTTCAGTGGTTGTGACATATTCTTCATTATTTTTCATTTATGTGGGTACTTATGTTATATGTCATGAATCTAAAGGTATATGATTTGAGTGGTAGTGCCGAATTGTAAATCCACATAATAAATGTCCTGTGAATCTCGGGTTCAAATCCAAATCTAAATCCAGTTTATTTATATAGCACGTTTAAAAACAAAACGTTTGCCCAAAGTGTTGTACAGAAACACAGGTTGGATCCAACTCATTAATGATCTTTGTGGGTCTAAGCCAGGGGTGGGCAACTCCAGGCCTCGAGGGCCGGTGTCCTGCAGGTTTTAGATGTGTCCTTGAACCAACACAGCTAATTTAAATGGCTAAATGACCTCCTCAACATGTCCTTAAGTTCTCCAGAGGCTGGTAATGAACTAATCCTGTGATTCAGGTGTGTTGACCCAGGGTCATATCTAAATCCTGTGGGACACCGGCCCTCGAGGCCTGGACTTGCCCACCCCTGGTCTAGGCCAATACTTTATTTTCACAAAACCTTCTAAAATTAATTATTACTTTTAAGTAATTACTTTTAAATGAGCTCTACTGGATTTGTAGTACTAAACAGTATAACAGATATCTCATTCCAACCCGATGTCACGACAAAGCCTGAAACAGACACGCTGGTCCACTGTGTCCATTTCAGGCTTTGCCTGTCCAAAATGTGAAATGGACACGCAAGCAGAAGTTGTAGGAACAGCAGAGGGTAATATTTTATTTTGAGCCAAC